ACTATTAAGGGCCCAAAAGCAAGCTATTCTGCTGGTTAGGAAAGATAGAAAATGTGGCAAAAGACCACTTTGGCTTAACCACAAGATCTTGCATGATCTAAAAAATAAAAAGGAGTCATAAAAAATGGAAACTAGGACAGATTACAAAGGATGAATATAGGCAAACACAGGCATGCAGGGGCAAGATTAGAAAGGCAAAGGCACAAAATGAGCTCAAACTAGCTACATGAATAAAGGGAAACAAGAAGACTTTTTATCAATACATTAGAAGCAAGAGGAAGACCAAAGACAGGGTAGGCCCATTGCTCAGTGAAGAGGGAGAAACAGTAACAGGAAACTTAGAAATGGCAGAGATGCTTAATGACTTCTTTGTTTCCGTCTTCACCGAGAAGTCTGCAGGAATGCCTAACCTAGTGAATGCTAGTGGGTAGGAGGTAGGTTTAGCAGATAAAATAAAAAAAAAAAGAACAAGTTAAAAATCACTTAGAAAAGTTAGATGCCTCCAAGTCACCAGGGCCTGATGAAATGCATCCTAGAATACTCATTGAGCTAATAGAGGAGGTATCTGAGCCTCTAGCTATTATCTTTGGAAAATCATAGGAGACGGGAGAGATTCCAGAAGACTGGAAAAGGGCAAATATAGTGCCCATCTATAAAAAGGGAAATAAAAACAACCCAGGAAACTACAGACCAGTTAGTTTAACTTCTGTGCCAGGGAAGATAATGGAGCAAGTAATTAAGGAAATCATCTGCAAACACTTGGAAGGTGGTAAGGTGATAGGGAATAGCCAGCATGGATTTGTAAAGAACAAATCGTGTCAAACCAATCTGGTAGCTTTCTTTGATAGGATAACGAGCCTTGAGGATAAGGGAATACCTAGACTTTAGTAAGGCATTTGATACGGTCTCGCATGATATTCTTATCGATAAACTAGGCAAATACAATTTAGATAGGGCTACTATAAGGTGGGTGCATAACTGGCTGGATAACTGTACTCAGGGTTGTTATTAATGATTCCCAATCCTGTTGAAAAGGCATAACAAGTGGGGTTCTGCAGGGGTCTGTTTTGGGACCGGCCCTGTTCAATATCTTCATTAACGACTTAGATATTGGCATAGAAAGTAGGCTTATTAAGTTTGCGGATGATACCAAACTGGGAGGGATTGCAACTGCTTTGGAGGACAGGGTCATAATTCAAAATGATCTGGACAAATTGGAGAAATGGTCTGAGGTAAACAGGATGAAGTTTAACAAAGACAAATGCAAAGTGCTCCACTTAGGAAGGAACAATCAGTTTCATACATACAGAATGGGAAGAGACGGTCTAGGAAGGAGTATGGCAGAAAGGGATCTAGGGGTTATAGTGGACCACAAGCTAAATATGAGTCAACAGTGTGATGCTGTTGCAAAAAAAAGCAAACATGATTCTGGGATGCATTAACAGGTGTGTTGTGAGCAAGACACGAGAAGTCATTCTTCCCGCTACTCTGCGCTGGTTAGGCCTCAACTGGAGTATAGTGTCCAGTTCTGGGCACCGCATTTCAAGGAAGATGGAGAAATTGGAGAGGGTTCAGAGAAGAGCAACAAGAATGATTAAAGGTCTTGAGAACATGACCTATAGGCTGAAAGAATTGGGTTTGTTTAGTTTGGAAAAGAGAAGACAGAGGGGACATGATAGCAGTTTTCGGGTATCTAAAAGGGTGTCATAAGGAGGAGGGAGAAAACTTGTTCACCTTAGCCTCTAAGGACAGAACAAGAAGCAATGGGCTTAAACTGCAGGAAGGGAGGTCTAGGTTGGACATTAGGAAAAAGTTCCTAACTGTCAGGGTGGTTAAACATTGGAATAAACTGCCTAGGGAGGTTGTGGAATCTCCATCTCTGGAGATATTTAAGAGTAGGTTAGATAAATGTCTATCGGGGATGGTCTAGACAGTATTTGGTCCTGCCATGAGGGCAGGGGACTGGACTTGATGACCTCTCGAGGTCCCTTCCAGTCCTAGAATCTATGTACCTAGGAGCCTTGAAGGCTCCTGATGTGTGATTGGGCCCAAGAAGGCTCGGTGCAATGGCTGGCCACTTGCAGTTCTAAAACAATGAGAAGAAGATACTTGAATCTTCTGGATCTCTCTAGAGATGGATGTATCCTTGCCATCAAAGTGTCTGTGTCCATTTCCAAGTGAGTTATTTGGGTGGACAGATTCAAGAAACTTTTCTTGACGTTGATAATAAAGCCATGAGCCTGTAGATTCAAGGTCAGAGATGTAGCTCTGTGTGCAGCTGCTGGGGATGGAGCTCTAGTTAAGATGTCATCCAGGAAGGGATACATGTGGATCCCCTGTGATCTGAGTTTGCTATGATTATCACCAACATCTTGTAAAGACCCAGGGGGGAGAGGACAAGCCGAATCAGAGATATTGATAATACCTCCTTCCATAAGCAAATCGTACAAACCTGCAATGACACTGTCTGATAGGGATGTGGAAGTATGCATCCACCAGATTCACTGAAGTCAGAATGGCCCTTGGCCTGACATTGTAGAGGTTAGGGTCTCCATCTGGAACTTTGTTTTCTTTATCCACTTGTTGAGTTGTGTGATATCTAGAACAGATTTCCCCATACACTTCTGAACAATAAAGAAGATGGAGTATAACCCCAAGAATCTTTCTTCTGAGGAAACACTCTTTTACTCCCATATCCAGGAGGTGAGAAATCTCATTCTGGATTAAGCCTGCACTTTACAGGGTCATTCAAGATTGGGGACTCGATGAAAAACGGATGGGGTGGAGCCCATAACGGAGTATTCCTGACTCACTATACATCTTCCTGACGCACTGGAAGCAACCATTCCTCCAGGGCTTTCCTCCCAAGCCCCGTTCCATGCCTTTCTTCTGGAGAACCTGCTATCACTTTGTTGTTATTTCCACAAGGATGAAGGCTGAAAGGAATGCCTTTGCCTGATGGCCAGCCTGTACTTTCTCTCAAAAGTATGGTGTGGCATCCAAAAGGACCGTTTAGATTTGCAGCGTTTTCTGCCACTATCTTGTCTAGCTTTTCTCAGAAGGGTTCCCATGAATTTGGCAGAGCATAGAACCTGCTTCAAGTGGCTATCCACCTTCGAGGAATGGAGCCATAGGTGGCACCTGGTCACTGAGCTGGAGGCCATGGCTTTGTCAGAGAATGTCATTGCTTCCCGACGCTGTTGCCAGGGAAGCTCTTTAAAACAGAGCCAAAGTCAGGGTGATTTCAATACTTGAGGGCTCTGAGATCTTCCAGCCAGGAGACAGATGCTCTCACAAAGCAAGCAGCTGCTAAGAATGCCCTGAGGGAGGCTGAGAAGGCCTCAAAAATCTTTGAGAGAAAAAATGGAGGCCACTCTCTGTGGAGTCTTTAGAACGCCTCTTCTAAGGGGATAACTATATATTTAACCAGGGATACTATGCAGCAACCACCTTTGGTATCTCAGTATTCAGGACTTTTGGTTCCTGGATCCTATAGAACATAAAATCATTTCTGTTAGTGTGCTTGCTCTTGTCTGGCTTATTCCATTCATCCCCAATTACTTCCTCAAAGGAGGAGTATAGGAGAATCACAGCCTCAGGGGAGGATTTTGAGGGGAGAAATTTGCTCAGAGGCTTACTCGTAGAATTGGCCTTCAATTTCTCAGGGGGAAAAAGCTTTGCTGAGTTTTTCCCTGGTCCTGATAGGAGACAGAGCCCAACAATTCACCATTCTCTGTGGAGGAGGGGAAGGAGTCAGAGGATTCATACCTCCTAGATCTCCTACACCTTTTCTTCCCCTTTTCACACTTTGATTTATTAGCTTTTTTTAAAGCTTACTTTGAGAGCTTACAAACTCTGTCACAGCTTTGGTGAGGCCTTTTGCAGCTAGCCTTGCTAAGAGCCTGAAATCCTGATGTTCCAGGGTGTTCTAACATCTGGCTAAAAATGGCCTAGAGGAGTAGGGGCAGGGAGGAAAACCACTGCTCACTACTGTCCCAAATTTTGACAAAAAACACCCCCTTTAGACAGATGTGAAGGCAGGAGCTGTAAAAACCCGCCATCCATATGCTGCCACAGAGGAACAGAAACTAGAAGCAAGCAGGAATCGAGAGGGGGTGCCTGACTATAAGGCTCTAAAACTCTGATCCACCTCCATGAACTGCAGAGAGGAGCGCATCCCAGATGTCAAGAATTGTGGACTGCAGAAAAAACAAAATTCAAATTTATACTGGAATAAGCTGATCAATAACTATCCAAAGGAGATATTTACTAATCATGAGATAAAGTCATCAAGTAGAGTTTCTAAGGCTTTTCTTTAAAACATTTTGTATCACATCTCTAGGTCATCACGTATGTGATAGTGATATCCTTATACATGATTCATGCAGTTACATTTGATTATATTATCTCAACTGCTACTAATTAATCTTTGCCAGTTCTTCATTAAAACATTAAAAACCCCTAAGCAGCTTCAAACATTCTTCAGGTAATAACTTGTGACCCTTTAGTACTAGAACTATACACATACTAGAAAGTGAAAAATTCTAGCTCTCCCATTCCCATAGAAGCACCCATCAATAGCTGGAGATATTAAACCTTAAAAATGCAATATTACCATGCATGGAAAAATACTATTTTGAATAATTTATAGTATCTAAATTTATTAGTTCTAATTCTTCCCTCCCTCTGAGACTTGTACAGTTAAATTCATGTAATAAATCAGGATGAATTAAAAGGTAGCAAAATAATAAATAGTATCAAGAGAAAAAAATTCGGTATTTTAAAATTATTTTTTCTGCAAATTATTTGGCAGATAGAAGAAGAGCTACAGGATGCAGTGGGAATGCCTTTTAAGCACTCATTGAGATGACATGTATGCTTTGGTACTTGTGCAATTGCAAACTCACGAGGCACAGAAGTTTTATCTACATATACACCCTTTTTAAAGCACTCTGAACATTATATGACCGCTTAACACAGTAATTATAAAACAGACTCACCAGGAAAATGAGGTATGATCTCACCATTTAGTACGTAAGCAACTCCAACTTTGATTTCTGGAAATACATCCAAGATATCCAATTTCATAACAGCCAATCTATTTTTTTTGTTTAAAGGAAAAAAAACACAAAAACAAGCCCTTCCTCTGTTAATGGCATTTTATAAACTGAGTTATTGGGCTAAAACTTAACTACATTTCTTTCCACTTGTCACATGAAATATTAAGCTCCAAAGCAACTATGAATCAAATGAGGAATAATTTTTTGTATGTTTAATAACTGAAGTTGTTGTTTTCTATTGTTTTTTCATTGTTTTAAAACAAAGTCCAAGCCAATAAAGTAAGATACAAGCAAAACAGCTGTTGGACTGATACAAAATCTATTGAAATCAATGGGAGCCTCTGGACCAGATCCTGAATTATGCCCTATTTCACACAAATATGATAAGATCATAATTCAAGGGACAGATTTCCCCCCTCTTAAACAGAATGAATGGTCTATAGCTTAAATGGAACAATTACAGTGGATGAGAAACTGGATACGAGTCAGAAGTGTGTCCTTGTTACCAAGAAGGGTAACTGCATATTGGGCTGCATTAGTGGGAGCACTGCTAGTAGATCAAGGGAAGTGATTATTCCTCTCTAGTTAGCACTGGTGAGGCCATATCTGAAGTATTGCATCCAGTTTTGGGCCCCCCACTACAGAAAGGATGTGGACAAATTGCAGAGTCCAGCAAAGGGCATAGGGGGTTGGGGCACATGACTTAGGAGGAGAGGCTGAGTTACTTGTCCAAAAGTAGGCAAGGACAAGGAAAATGAATGGGAAGATGTAAATAAAGATTTACATCTACACTGGTCCATTTGTTACGCCAAACAGTTTCATCTGAGCTTTATTTCAATGCTACTTGCTTTTTTTATTTTTTTAAAATTACAAAATTTCTCAGAGGTAATTTAAATTGAAAAATTTGTATTCGTTTATATCCACTCCTTGGCATCTAGTACCATTGGCTATTGTATACTAAGGCTCCCCAGCTCTGGAATCATGAAGTGCACTCAGATGCTTTTTTTTATATAAAGAGGGAGGAGGGTGAGAGAAGTGCTAAGTAATGGGAACCAAATGCAAACAGTTCTTGGAACTGCATGAATAGCGAGTCATTTTTTACTTTCATTAGAGAGACAGGTAGGGAAAACTTTAAAAAAGTATGTGAATCACTGAAATATAGACAGATAACACAAATTCCAGGGGGAGAGGAGGGAAGGGGGGAGGGGAAAAGGTATTTTAACCTCCATGCAGTTTTTCTGTACATGTATTTTTCAGAGCCATTTCTGCTACTAGTTGTGTGTTAAAAAAATTCTACGTCATGGGGAAGCAACTCTTAAGAGTGGGGACAGGGAGAAAAGTGAAAGATGTGTTCAGAATATCAGGACATCCCATCTGAGACTGACAAGTTATGGTTAAGTAGATTTTTTAAAAACAACTTGCAAATTAGAGATATTTCTAGTGTCTTCTGACATTAGCACTAACTGACAAGTAAGACTAATATTAAAGTGTTAGCCAATTTCTCATGGCATACAAAAGCTGGAAAAAAGTTTAGAAAATATACATGTTGGAATGTAGACTAAGGTTATTTTATACCTTTACACAATATTTTAGTGCAAATATTCAAAGTATTTTAGTACATTCGAATATACCTTAAAACACTACATTGGACCCAAAAATGAGAAGTGTCATATATAAGTTCTTATCTTTAAAAGACATAAGTATGGAAGATGGAGGTATCATATATATTGTTCACAATTCACAATCACTTTGCACAAAAGAGATGGAATCAACTGCTAAGCTAACACCCAAGGTATGTAACTTTTTAGGCTGATTAAACTTTTATAGCATTCATTTGAATAGAACCATTTTCTACCAATGCTGGTGAGAGTTTCGTAAGAGTTACTTACTAGGAACTGTACAATTTGCTATAATCCATGTTATGCTACATATGAAAGCCAATTTGTCAGCACCACAGAATACTCACGCAGTAAATCCATTAATCATGTGGGCGTATCTGAGTAACACAAGATCCAGCCAGCCACATCTTCTTTTTCTACCAGTAGTCACGCCAACCTCCTTACCTCGTTTCTGCAGCAATTCTCCAATTTCCTGATGGAAGATTTTCATGTGTATTAGCACAGCTAACAGAATATTGTAATAACCTTAAAGTCCCCCCCCAATAATGCACAAAACTATCCAAGATAAAAATACAAACAAGTACCCTTACTATTGCTAGTGGGTTTTTCTTTTCTTTTTTAAATGTAAGAATGCTAGTTAAGCAAGTCATTTTCTCAACACTACATTTTCATTCAGTTATGTAATGCCGAACCTATTTCTTCACAACAATATTATGAAGCTTAATGAAGTCTGAGATACTTGGCAATCAGACTGCCAGTGCTGCAAATGCAGCTGAGGATCAAAAAGGCAAGGTGTTTTTGGTGCAGAATCTTTACTCTTGGTAGCTTGCCTTTTTACAACTTGACCTTCGTTACAATTTTGCTGCTGGTGCATGTGATAGAGGAAGATGAATTTTATTCTCTGTCAGCATTAACGATTCTGCAGAACTAAAAAATATGCAACAACTTTATAAACTAAGCACAGATGGATCACTGCGCCCAGGCAGCAGATTTGTTAACTGAGGTAGTTACTTTTCAGAGCATAGAAGTATTTTAAGGCAAGAAATGCTACTAAATCTCATGCAGAATCTGATGTTGGGGATAGTTTTATACAGGCCACAATATGCCCTTAGCTTTAAGGAATATTACTGGCTAAACCTATGAAACACATCCAGTTATTTTCCCACTTGTTGATCATATGAGTAATGCTTACATTATCTTGTTCTGTAGGAAAGGCACCAATTCCAACTCTAGTTGTATATGCTTTTACAACTCCATATACTTCCCCAACATTCTGAGGTGGCATGCCCAAACCTGTGCAAACGCCTCCAACTGTACAATTCGAAGAGGTCACAAAAGGATATGTCCCTAATTAAAAATAAATAAATAAATTAGAGAACTGAAAAGTGCTATCACACTTTCTGAGAAAGAAAAACACACTGGTCCTTAAATTATTTTTAAAGTTAGTTAACCATATATAGGGTAATTTCATACTTATTGGGAAGAGCTCATTGGTGGATTTTGTAAAGCTATGAAGAACACCAAAATGAATACAGTTTGCAGTTAGGAATTTATTAAATATGAAAAAGAGAACCTAAATTTTCTTCTGTGCAATATGCATTCCTGCCCCACTGAAACCAACAGGAGATTTACCCTGACATCAATTAGCACAGGATCAAGCCCAGATAGTGAAGCAACTTTCAAAGGACATGCAAGCCAAAAATTAGCATGAGTCACCAGAAAGTATTGTCTGTGTCTCTATTACATAGTATGTCCACTTACAGCAAAAAATATGAGGATTTTGAAAGGAGATTGAAGACCTGTCTACATTGCACACCACTGGCTTTAGCATACCTGTAACTACAAACTGCAGTGTCCACACTGGTGTGTAGCTACGTATGGCCATGAAAGGCTCTGGTGGGGGATAGGCAGTGGGGAAAGGCTCTGGCAGTTCCCCACTGCTGGAACCTCTCCTTGCCACAGGGAGCTGCTGGAGCCTTTCCACACTGACTGAGTCTTTCCCTGCGGTGGAGGGCAGAGAGACACTACACGGCTATGGATTGGCACTGCTTGGGTTCATAGAGAGCTGTGTAGGATACATACCCTAAGGGTTCAGGGGGTCTTCAATCTTCTTGCCTAAGCAATGCCTCACTGCGTACACTACTATTTATACCTATTAACATCCAAGAAAATACAGGATTTGCGATCTCAAATGTAGAGGTATACCATGGAGAAAGTAGTTCTCTTAGGTAGGTAGTTCATAAGCCATGTAGGTAAAAAACCTTTAGTTTAATAAGCTCACAAAAGCCTGTAATATTGCATACTTTGAAGTATTTTAGTAATTACATTAAAAGTATCTTGTCATACTGTAAAATAAATGTATATAGAAAGATCACTGCTAGCCAGCTAAGTTCTTTTCATAAAGTATTTTCACAGCTCTGCTCCACAACTGTGAGCTATGAAATATGACTTTTATAAATGGTAAGAAAAGTCCATAGTAATTGACTCAGCTTTTTAACAGGACTGCTATATGCAAAGTAACTAGTTAGTTGCATGTGATTGGTTTAGCCAAATATCACACCAACACCATTCAAAAAGTTATTCTTAAAAATCAAACCAAAGGCCAAATCCTGACCTCGTGTGCATACATTTACTGACTTCCAAAAACCTTTAGAAGAATTTCCTAAATTTAATTAACAGCTCTTTTTTCTAAGACCCAAAACTCAAAGAGTGGTTTGGTATTTTTTGGGGGGAAAATTTTAGTGTGGAGTCAAAATCTGACTTAAAATAGGAAGTGTAGTGCTTCCTCATAATACAAATACACATTTTCCACAAGAGCATCTATGCATGGCACAGCCACTAGACATTTTCCTTTCATGGCACATACCACCATGTTTCTCAGAAAAAGTTATACCTACCAAAATCGATGTCCAGTAATGCTGCATTTGCACCTTCTACTAAGATTTTCTTTGGTGGTCCACGTAGAGCCTCATGTATGAAATAAACACCATCCCTCACCATTGGTTTAATCCTTTCTATGTAGCCCTAAGTAACACAAAAGGCTTTTTAAAGATTGGGTTTAATTAGTAGGTTATAAACCAGAACGAATAGGTGTACAATATATTCTAATTATACGTTTCACTATGATAAAGCCAGCCAGAGGCCTCATAAGTACCACTCTGCCATATAAGTAACCAGGTTTGATTTTCAGTCCAAGCGCTACTGCCCATACTGACAACCCACTCATTCCTTTGACACAGAGGAAATAAAGAAGTGGGATACACATTCAGAAATAATCCTTCCTAGACAATTCTAGAAAGATACTGGGCTTCCCTGCGGTGCTGGTCATCACCCAGTTCTATTTGATCAGAAAGATGTGAGGGGCACTGTGTGTTGGTAATTGGGGCGGAGGGCAGAGATAATGGATATGAGGATCTCTTCCCAAAAGGACAAAAACACAAGCAAAAAATGAAAATCTAATCCAAAGTTTCTTAACACAGCATTTTGAATATTTTACAAATACAAATCTGAAAGACCAAATAAATACTCAAACATGTTGCTTAAAAGAAACATTTTTATTACATTCAGCATCTTATTTGCAAGTGTTAAAGACTTCCCACAAAAGCCAGTTCTCTGAAATTCCATTAGTGACAATCTGGAGCCAATGGCCTAATGTCTCTTTATATTTATGCTAATGGAGAGAGGGGTTGTCTTACTCTTACCTATAGGAACTAAGTCTTTTGTAACATGCAGATTAGTACTGAGCATACATCCTGTCCCCCATGAGTATGAATAGATGCTGTCCCATACTAATGATTTGGTTTACATGGAGCACACAGCTTTACTCTTTCAACTTTTTAGTAGATCACTGTAAAAAGCATAGTAAATACAAGTCATTTCCCCCCAGGCACTGTGATGTTTTTATGTCTCCACTCCACACAGTAAACTGTTGATCTATTGGCTTCCCCCACCCCCAAAAATTTAGTGCATATGTAAGTATAATAAAAGGATTACAAAACCGTCAACATGTAACTGATCTCCATCAACAGGGCTCATAGAATTCCACAGATAAAAAAAATTACAGAGTTTTACAGTTAACTGGAAGGGAAGAACTCCAAATGCTCCACTCTTCAACTCATCTGTGTGTTAGGAAACTGGGTCCAATGATAACCAATAAACTGCTAAAAGGATAACTTTTTCTAGTGGATGTTTGGTAATAAAATCTTTGCTCAAGTCTCTTTAGAATTCTCACAATTAACGACAGAGTTCAGGCTTACGTCGCTCTCAGTTCTCTCCCTGTTCTTCATCATAACAAAGTTGCTTTCAAGTCCCCTAATTTTAATGCTTACTTTTTTGGCTGATATATGTGAAGAAACATGGAGGTGACACTTGTGTTCTAAACACCCAATTCCTTTTTAATTTATGATAATCTTCCTGAAGTAGAATGTTCCAACAGAGCACAAAGTAAGACTGACAGTCTTCTTAAAATAAGAACTAGAAATCTATTTAATGATTGATATTTTACCATCAGGCATATGTGGGTTATTTATCAAAATAAAAACTCACAAAAATGTTTGATGATCTGCATTCTAGGGATTCACAATAAGGGCACATACAATTAAATAATTTGTTGTAACACAGAAATAGTTTTACCTTGAGTTTTTTCAATTCCCCTTCAAGGTCTATCTCTAAGGTTGGATATATAGCTTTGTACTGGTTAGCTAACACTTTGAACCTGAAAGGCAAAAACAATTCTTCAATAATTTTGCTCAGCAACATTTTAAGATTTGTCACCTCTTGATATAAAGTTACTTTTTGATTACACAATTAAAAGAAAATTCAGATAGATGCATCCAGTTAAGACTTTTTGGAATACAAATTAGATATTTATCTGAAACATGCCAAAATATACCATTAATATAATTCGTATACTGTTAGTCTAAAGTTATGCTTGAAAGGTTACATTTCAAATATAAAACTAGAATTACCTCTCTGAAAATTCACCAAAATCAGAAACAAGATCACACATTCTGAGCCCACTTCGAGCTGCTTTCGAAGAATAGACTGGACCAATCCCTTTTTTGGTCGTTCCCAAGCTTTCAAAAAAGTAAAAGTCATACATGTTACTCTCAAAATGAGAAGACAAAAAGCTAATTTTAAAAGCAAACCAAGTTTTGAATAACAACATTTAACTTTGATCTCTGACCATTTTTTCTTAATGCTTAACTTAAAAATTTAATGTGTATTAGCTCAGTGGTTTGAGCATTGGCCTGCTAAACCCAGGGTTGTGAGTTCAATCCTTGAGGGGGCCATTTAGGGATCTGGGGCAAAAATCAGTACTTGGTCCTGCTAGTGAAGGCAGGGGGCTGGACTCTATGACCTACCAAGGTCCCTTCCAGTTCTAAGAAACAGGATATCTCCATTTATTTATTTATTTTATTTTTATATTTAAAAATAAGGACCTCAAAGGAGTTTCATAAAATTAAATCCTGTTTGTGAACATATTTACATCTTTCATATATTTTAAGTGTTAATTTTTAAAGAAGCCAATCTTCTGCATTTTCCTCCCTGCTTCACTGACATTTCTTTTATATAAATCCTGACAGGTTAATTTCCTCTCTAATTGCATGCGCAAGGAACTGATTCTGATGACCCTTTGATGATGTGAACTGAAATTAGCCACGCACCAGATCATTTCCGAGATACATTTTTTGTCTTCTGGATAAATAAAACCTCTCTTGAGGAAAAAAGATGGAGGAAGGCCTTGTGCACTGAAGTGACAAAAGACACAGGACTAATTTAAAATATGTATGTGAAATCTTTCAATAAACACTAGACTCCACATAGGAACAAGAAGAACAGGAACCTTGCTCAGTATCAGAAGAGGACATGCATAGACGGAAGGTTCTGAGATATGAAATACCTTCAAGAATTAATTAGATTTGCAGAACTGCTAGCATCTGAAAAATTAAACAGCTAGTCTAAAACAAGAAGGTATCTAAACTGTTTCTCCTGAAACAATGTAGAACTGACACTAGCCTTCTTTCATCTGGAAACAGAGAACAACTCATGCCAGTGACATCGCAAAATACAATTATTTGTCTCCATTGCTTTCAGAGAGGAAGTACAACGGAAAACCTAGACCTGATCAGAAGAATGAAAAACAAGCTAATAAAATGGTAGTCTGCATGGCACTCGTGGCAGTTATAGATCAAACAGATGGAACACTGTATTGAGAGACTGCAAAGCAACTTTACTCTCAATTTCCAATTAGAAAACAAAATAGGGCTTCAAAGAATCTAATCTTCTATTAAGTACATGGATATCTACTAATGAAAAACTATATTATTCCAAATTAATTATTCATTGGTTATATAAGACTTGAATCTGATGACTTCAGCAAGGATTCCTCAAATACAATTTTGTCCTAATTTTTAATTCTAATGTCACGTCATGACGTTTCACCAAAACAAATGTGGGTTTTTAAGTTTTAAAGGCAGTTCTGAGAGGCATCATAAGAAAGCTCACCTAAAATAGTTTTAATACCCGTGTCTAACCCATCTTAATTGGGCTAATACACAGCCACAATATGCAGCCTTCTGAGGCATCATCCACTGTTAACTGGATATCGACATTAATGTTTAGGCTTCTAAATTCACACCAGTATTACTTTTGTGTGCCCAGAAGTGCCTGTAAAACAGAAACGTTTAAGCCACTGAAAGTTTGCAATGTAAATTTAAGACAGGACAAAACAAGTGAAACCAGTAAAAAGATTAAGGATGAGTTTGGAGTGAGAAATAGGGGAAAGGGGGCACAAAAGTTACATAATACCATGTTATGTTTGTATGTAGACAAGATGTAACACGTGCCTTTTGCTTATCAATATTAATACTCTTATTCCAAATTAAATAAAGCTTAAGTGAATTTTGAGGGAGAGCAGACTTGAGTGAAGGAAGGGAGGAATATGTAAAAAGGGGAGAGGACAGAGTAGATGGAGAGGGAAAGAAACTGGAGGCTGGCAGATATGATGGGGCCAAGAAGATGAATGGTTCATACAAAGCCATTGCATTTTCTGATAGAAAACAGTTCTGGGATGTCTAGTGTTGGACCCAATACAGGATGCAGGAGAGGCAGAGGGAGATTTTTGGAGCTCTACCCCAGAAAGCCCTGTGGAGAAGACAGCAGTTGTTGTTAGATGTTGCTGGGACTTTATGTCCGCATGCTGACTGTGGTAGGAAAAAGGGTGACCAGGCTATTGTTTTATTTATCTCACAAAAAATATGGGATTTGTTTTTTGGTGGGCACTCACTGGAGTTGAAATGGGAGGAGGAATGGTGAAGAGTGGAAGAAGGCAGAAAAGAAAGAGTAGGGAGGCAGAAAAGGGAAACTAAGGCCTGGTCTACACTACGACTTTAATTCGGATTTATCAGCTTTAATTCGAATTAACCCTGTAACCGTCCACACAACGACGCTATTTAATTCGATGTAAAGGGCCCTTTAAATCGATTTCTGTACTCCACCCCAACGAGCGGAGTAGCGCCAAAATTGATTTTAGCAATTCGAATTAGGGTTAGTGTGGCCGCAATTA